GTGGTGCTCGGGCAGCCGTGAGAACCTAGACGCACGTGTGTGTGTGTCCAAGTGGAAGCAGGTCAAGTCTCTGCAGGTCAGCGCGTCTGTTAGCGCTGACTGAGGTATTGGATGACCTTGAGGCAGCTGGCCTTGAACAGTAACGCCGCACAAGGCAATGGAGGGCGTCGGCCGGCAACGACCACTAAAGAAGAACAGTAGCGAACTACTCCAACTGCTCCGTGAAGCCAATAAGCCAGAGTGTCAACACAAGACTTGTAGATTTCAGCGAGAATACCGTCCTCTCCGGACGCATTGCTGTTGCGCAGCCTCTCTATTGCATCAGCAACTTCGTCTTTGGGTGGGAGATCACACGACACTGCGTAGGCTGGAGAGGGTTGAAACTCCGCTGTGAAGCAGCGGGAGGGTGTGATAGGTTGCTCATCGAATTTGAGGTGGTACTCGAGGTATTTACGCCAGTGACCAATCTTAGCCGGGTTGTCAACGAGATAGCCGCTATTCGAGGACTTACAACTAATTTGCCAGATAACTTGGTACAGTTTTCAAGTTTCGTCAACATATGAGGCCTGCTCCGTGGAGGCCGCTGTTTGGGACGACTGCTTCTGCTGCTCATCCTCAGCCGACCTTGCTGTCTGCCTTCGGAGTCGGTGGAAGTAAGCATCGTTGCTGGACCTGGCTCAAACTCCCTGGGCAGACCGCTGCAGGGTTCTTCCGCTGATCCAGTCACTGCGGCGCAGCTGAGTAGATCCCAGAATTTTCTCAGTTGACCCATAGACGGATGTCTTTAGTGCGGACCACTTGCTGCTGCCTTCGCCGTCGGCTGGGGTCGTAAGACGAGACCGAATTTCTGTGCTTAGGGCCTCGTTAGTGTTGGATTGCCAGAGTTTTGCGACATCCAGGCGTCTCGCACGTGGCATTTTGGGCGCAAATGAGAGATGAACCTTCAGAGAACATGGTCAGACCTATGACTGTTACCTCGCACTTCGCATAGACCTGCTATCGTGGACCCAACTTCGAAACCTTGAACCAAATAAAATGTAATCGGTATGACTAGCGGTACGGCCGTCATTTGAATGCCAGGTAATTAGATAATTATGACGATGCTGAAAGTATGTGTTGGTAAAAAACAGTCGGTTCTGATCCGTCAAATGCAGCATCCTCTTATCATTGTCGGATCGACAGCCAAGCCCAAGAAGACCAATGAGGGGACTGTATGAAGAGTCACCGGGCTCATTCCGGCCATTCCAGTCCCGAGCGACAGTTAACAGATCACAATGAGAGAGTCTTTCAACTAGCTCCTGTAGCTGTGAATAGGAGGTTTCTACATCTTTATGTTCGGCAACTGATGTTGGCGCATACTCAGAGACGACAAAGATGTTCGTAAAGTGACCCTCTAGTCGAACGCAAATCATCCGGTTGTTCATTGGTTCCCAGGCCAGTAGTGCACGGTTGGCTTGTTCCGAGGGCTAATAGCCACACCGTGTCTACTAGATGAGCCGCGTAGGCCACTGTAGTACATAGTGCGTTAGGAATCGGCTCCCGCGATTTTTATTTCTCGGGCGGCTGAGTTGCGGATTGGGACTTCGGACAGGTAGTAAACAACCACATGGTTTTAATGAAGACTGCGCGCCGTCAGACTTTGGGTACCAGGTTCTAAAAGTGTTCACACATTCCAGCATCCAATACCAAGAGTCCGTTCCTGGTTGAGTACTGCAGCTTGCGTACTATTTGTCCGCAGCACTGGACAAGGGTTGTGGAGTGCTTCGGTTCCCGTGGTCGCCGTAGCTTGGATAATATTACCGTAAGTAGGCATTTTGCATGAGGGATCTTGGGTCTTTGGGATACAACCAGTTCCCCAACGGCCGCTCGGATTCTTTATTCGAGGTTATCTCATCTAGCGCTTTGGCTCAACGACTTAACCGCAAGCCAGTGACTGCATGAAAACCTATTTAGTGGCGGTTCACGCTCGCCATTTCACAGTGTCGTCATTGGGACTGGGAGAACTTTATTAGACAGTCGGTGGGCTAGAACTCAGCCTTCCGCGCTCTGGTAACACTGCTACTGCTGCTGGTCTGCGACTGCTTACTCGCCAGAGCCATAAGCCTGCTTATTTCGCAGTTAATCTTTGCTGAAGGCCGTTCCACTATCCGCCACTCGTGGACGCGCCAAGTAGCCAGCAGCTAAGCTAACGAGTATTCCGCTTTCGTGCCCTCCTTGACTTCACAATCATTCGATTTAGACGTTAGTTCATTAAATTAAAGCCAGTATGGAGTTGCACTAGCGAACCAGGCTAACTTGGTTTTGGAAAAGTAGATTGCAACAGCAAGTAAAGTTTGAATACCTGGTTCTGGGATAATTTCATCTACTCTCAGTTGGGGCTTCAATAACTTGTGTTCTTTTCTTCAGTCTTGTCATGGTTATGAGAGCATTTTGGAAGTGGTCTGCGTGTTCTTCGTTGATTTATGTAAGTGACGCTGTTAAAATGGCGGCATACTCGTTCACTCATTAGCCTGTGTCTCGCACCACGCAGACCGAATGCTCTGAGGTTCAGATTTATGTGCCAAGAGCTGCTAACTAACTCACAGCTGCAAGCTCAATTATTAAAGTTGTACTCCCATGATGCTAGCTAACCTGCCTGTGAATGTTGTGAATCATACTTGCGGTTTCTTCGTTGCCTCGACAGCAGTCTTCCGGTTTATCTTCGTCAGAAGCAAAAAATGGTTATACGATAATTGAGGCTGTCACTTACCAACCGAGTTAACCTTCATGTTTTCGAAGACAGAAACTATTCAAAGGAAGGGGGCTTCTCTTAGGAGATGGACAATGAAGATGTGGTTGGTTTTTGAATGACTTAAATATTTCTAAACCTGTTTTAGAAAGTTTATCTGAAACGGCTTAATTTCCTGTCGTTTTCACTCGATGTCAGTTAACTTAGCTTTTGGTTGCTCAGTGTTGAAAATGGCATTAGGAGGTTTGGCAGATCTTCATAAAATTGAGTTGACCCAATTGTGAAAAAACTCGAGGTGTTCGGCGGGATATGAACCCGCGTAGTAGAGAAGGCCTTTATCGGAAGCCAACACTCTAACCACCTGAGCTGCAAACGCCCCATCTCGCGCCATGAAGTTAACCACACTTGAGTTGACTTTTACTCTCCCAACTTTACTGCTCGTATGGAATCAACCAATACGGAACAGAAAGCTGACTGCCCAAGCAGGATTTTCTAAGTAATTATCTAGAATCCACCAGAAACGTTTAATTACCTGTCGTTTTCATTCGATGTCAGTTAACTCAGCTTTTGGTTGCTCAGCGTTAAAATGTCATTAGAAGGTTTGGCAGATTTGCTTAATTTTTAGCCGACCAATTTGTGAGTTTTTCACTATTGGGTCAACTCAAATAAAGCAAATCTGCCAAACCTCCTAATAATTAAGTAAGCCTAGCAATCATTCTGGTGGATTCTAGATGATTGCTTAGGAAATCCTGCTTGGGCACCTTGCCCCGTATTGGTGGATTTCATATGAGCGGCAAAGTTGGACAGGTAATATCTATCCATGTATTATTAAACTCATGGCGTGAAGCGGGCTGTTCCATATTGGTGGATTCCATACAAGCGGTAAAGTTGGGCGGGTAAAAGTCGACCCAAGTGTGATTAAATTCATGGCGCAAGGTGGGGCGTTTGTAGATCAGGTGGTTAGACTATTGGATTCCGGTAAAGGCCTTCTCTACTACGCGGGTTAAAATCCCGCCGAACGCCTCCAGTTTTTTCACAATTGGGTCAACGCAAATTTAAAATGTCAGTTTTTTTAGTTTTCCTCCAGTTACCGAATACTGATGTTTACCTTGTATTCGATTGAATTTCGAAGGAAGGTACTTGTTTGTTGATATTGATTCTACAGAAAACACAACTTATGTATTTTCCATAGGATGTTTCTAAAGCACCGTACGTTTTCGACACACTGTTATTCGTACGTCTGAAAAACCGTGGTGAACTGCTAATGCTTGAAAGGGGGGAACAAAATTTTTTCTTTAAGTTAAAGATCCACTGTAACTTTGAGACTGATATGACTCGCAAGTACCACCTCCTAAATGAATTAACATTGTTTGAGTGCCTCATGAGTACCAACTATGTGTCAGCTTTTAGGCATTCACAATTAGATTTTGTGATAATCTTCAACACTACGGTGAGGAATATGACCATAAGGCCCGCAACGAAGTTTCTTCGAGGTTTTGGAAGGCGCCCAAGCGGTGCTTTACCCAATTGTTAAAACTACCTGTAAACCGGTAATCAATGAATAAATAAAATAAATAGTGTGACAACGTTATCGCTGTTGTCTGAACTGAAGTAAACTGAAATAAACCCCTCAAATGAAGAAACCATCAACCAACAAGTTGATGCATAAATTAGGAGAAGTTGTGTGAGCCATAGCTAATAGGGAAGTGTTGAATACAAACCTGACCTTTTTCAGTTCCTAGAACAAAAAAACTGTTAATGTGGGAGTAAGAGATCACAACTTTCAAATATACGCGTTTGCCAGTGATGGTAAGTGCAAACTTAGAAGTGCAAATTAAATTTTAGCATCGCTCCGTAATCTTCAAATAATGTAGGCAAAGGCTTCTGCAAAAAGTGGTGCAGTTCCCTGAAACGCACCATAAATGTCACATTTCAATTACAAGGCATTTCATGCTGACATCAATGCAGAAGGATTATGTAGGTGCCCTGACCGCAATGCGAGTTTGTATGTGTCATTCAAAAACATATGAAAATCATAAGTGATTAACCAAACTGACGTGACGCGGCGGCAGACTTGCTCTGCAATGGATGTTCGGCCCAGAGGTGTCCAAGTTATTGGAATAGAGATATCTTCGGATTTTGCTGAGCGCAACCTCTCATCAGCTAACATAATTGAGGAAGAAGGAAACAAACGAATGGAAAGTAAATCCGATGTTACAGACGGAAATTAACCTGATCTTAGATAAAAACACGCTCCTGCAGATTTATAGAATAATTAAAAGTGTAGGATTTGGAACAGGAAGGAGAAATTACGAAATTTCGTTGTAGCAGAACAGTCTACTGCTAGACTTGACTGAGCACAATTTGGAAGGTTGGACATTTGTTTTTATTCTTAGATTGCCTACGTGTTATTTATTGAAGGAAAGTTTTATTTTTGTCGTTTTTTTCTGCGTTTGACTAGTATAACTACTAACGTTGACTAACATATGCGTCCACAAATATGAGGTGTCGCATAAATGCACTTAAAGGTGCCGTATGCAAGTGAGGCACAATTATTCACTTTTTCCGAGAAAATTTTCATATTGCTTTTTTGATATTTACGCGTGTCCTACTTTTTTTGTTAAGTGGATTGCGCGCCTTTAATTTCTGTCTACTTCTTGCGCATTGGGCTCTTAAGAAATAACGTAATTTCCCCCAGTGGGTCTATTCAGCTGGTACATAATGAATTACAGTCTGACTGGCATTGGGAAAAAATTGATTTTAATTAATTATGTTTCCTTAAATTATGTGAATTATGCAAACCTACGCAGGTCTCGGGATTCAACACATGCTCCCTATAGGGAAGGATTTATGCATATTTGATATAACAATCGTCGGGCGTATGCGTATTTAAGATTGCATTTCTTTGGAAACATTTTCGCTGAGAGTTAGGTTGGCCGCCTACCTACACATAGCCGCGTAGTCCTGTGGTTACTTTTAGATTTATTAGTTTTAGTTTAGTTTAGTTTGTAGTTTATTATTAAGCTTATTAGTTCACTTTTAGTTCTAGTTTAATTTAGCTTTTAGTTTAGTTAGATACCGCCAGTGTTAGATAACTGTACGTAAATAACTGTTATATACTAAACTAACTAAACTAAACGAAAATTAACTAAAGTAAAACTAAAATTAAACTAATACACTAAATTTTCA